AAGAATAGTTTATCAGTTGTAAACTAAAAACTAATCGATGTTAAAAATATCATCATAAATATGTCATCGAACTTAAGCGAATATATTTAATTAATAAATATTGTAAACGAATATATTTAATAAATATGTCATCGTACTGTAAGCGAATATATTTAATAAGTAAATAAAATAATAGCTTATCAATTAACGAAAATAAGAACTTCGTATATTATAAATAAATCTTCGTATCATAAGCAAACATAAAAAAATTATTTTTAATTTGATTAAAATGTCAAAGCAAAAAATAACTTACACACCCGAACAAGTAGCTAACAGAAATGAAGCTAGAAGAAATCGAAAAAGTTCAATGACTGAAGAACAACAATTAGCTTACTGAAAAAGTGAATCTGAAAAAAAGACAGGCTCGTCGTAAAAAAGCGAAAGAGAATGTAAACCAAGGCGAACAGGCAAATCAAGAAGATAGCCTAAATAAAAGTATGGCTTTTAAATTAAATTTTTTTAAATAAAATTATACATATAACTTGAATAAATTATTTTTAGAAGACGAAATATCACCCGCCTGTCAGCTTAATAATGATGATTGTAATTTTCGAGATGCCGTTGCAAATCTTAAACATAATTATTGCCCCACATGTAAAGAATCCTTTCCTTCGGTTATATTAAATCATAAAACTGGCTCTTGTGTTAGATGTAGCAGTGACAAATTGATGCCAAAAAGATTTTCGCCGGATAATGATATGGATCCCGGTACGTATGTGTAATAATAATAATGATGTTAATACTAGGAAAACAGAAACTGTTAAAAGTCCGGAGCAAAAATTTTATTAATTCTCAAACTTTAAAATTCGGCCCAACGAATAATAATTGTGACTCAATAGCTTATAAAAATAGAATGTAGAAAAAGATCCAGTATAATAAATACTTAGCTACGATTTATAAATCTAATTCAAGATACTCCTACATAATAGTTTTAAAAATACACTAACTTATTATTCCTTATTAGATAGAAGGAATAAGAAAAAAAAGTTTAATACACCAAACTATCTTATATCTTTTTGCTATTTGGTAATATCCTCAACTCATACAGATTTCCCCGAAGCATTTCATTATTAAACCAATAATCGACTTTTTTTTGGTTGTTCTACTTTGTTAAGTAATACAAAAAAGAAACTGTTTTCAATAAAAACTAAGGTATTTAGGTTAACAAAAGACTTCTTATAATTGGAGAGTTTAATAGACTTTAGGCAATGTTGAGGTATTATTTGTTTTGACGGACGGGGTATTCCTATTGAAACTCACCCCAAAACCAAAATGAGCGTTTTAAGAACCATTTTTGCCGCATAAGAACTAGTGATAAATCTTGGTAGTAAGGAATTTGCAATTGGTCTTACATTTGTAGGTATATCAAGACTTCGTGCTCTTGCTGATATTCTTTTCGATAGTGCAATTTCCTTTGACAGATTACAAAAATTAGGACAAAACGCACGTTTACAACAAAGATTAATCAAAGAACAAAGATTACTTTCTTTATAAATTTAACATAATATAATCTTACAATAATATAAATTATAAATGCAGTACATATAAAAATAATTTTATAGATAATGTAATTTAAAAATACAGATATTATTTTAAATTAATTTTAAATTGTAAAATCTAAGAATTAGAGCTCCAGCCCACAAAACGACGCCGTTTTTCTAGTGTAGACCGTAACTCTGATAGTAAATCATAATTAATCATGTATATACATATGTAATTGTCTCTTAAAGTGTCAATTCGACTTCAAATATACTACGATATAGACTACAATCCAATATTAATCATAAGGCGTCTTGTTTCTACTGTCTAGTTGTTTGGAAACGTGGAAAACTGCAGCTAATTATTGCTTTAATTGCCCTGAAATATTGGCAAATTAGTTGAGGAAATCAATGATTGTTTAATAAATAATTTTTTTTTGTTAAACCGTCTATATAATTTTTAAAGTTATCCGTGTATTTTTTATTTTTATTTTTTTGATAAATACTACAAGCATTACAACATATGGCATTTAGTATGACCTAAGATGGTAATGGTAATTATCCCTTAACATTTATTACCAGTTACCGTTACAGGTTACTACATACGTACGTACGTACGTACGTACATGTTACGCAACACAGCTGTAACATAATTACCGCCGCAAATATGTCCACACATCTACTGCAAAAATAATACATTCGTTAAATAGAAGACATAAGAATTAGACAATAAACTCTTTAAATTACATTACATGGATTTATTATTAAAATGATAATCAAAGGTTGTTACAAGTAATTTATGGTTATTACTAATAAAATGACCACAATTGACAACTTGAAGGTATTACTGATTGAATTATAATTTGATGCTGTGCCACTTTTAACGGTTACGGTTGCAGTTTGAATTAAATTTTGAGTTTTGTTCGGTTGAGGCGCAATTGTGTTTACCCATGTGTATTCTGATGGATCACTAACATCTAAAATAAAAAGATCATCACTTCCCGACGCAATATATTTACCATTTTTTCCAAACGCGACTATCATAAAGTCTCCTATTAAAACAGATGTGTGAAATGTTCGTGGTGCTGGAGACATGCTAGCAATGTTTGGTTGTGTCCACACGAATGGAATTTGACTGACGTCCAGTACTGCAAGAGAATCTGGCACTGGTTCGTCAGTACCGGTATGGCCTCCATATACAATAATACGATCGTCTTTGGCTAATGAAAAGAAAGATAAAAGAGATTTAGGTTTTAAGATTTCAGCTGACAATAACAATAACGGTTAATAAATTTGCTTATTACTTAGAACAGACGTGTGTCGTGCACGATTCGAAGGAACATAAGATCCTTCTGCGGTCTACATTTTTATAATAAAATAAATTATAATAAGATTTCATAAGGTTCTGAAAGTTAATTAGAATGTTTTATATTTATACTAACCATTGCTGGCAACCATGTGTCGTTTGTCGTGTTATACATAATAATCTATTATAGAATAAACATTAGAGAACGTAGACGAACGAATGAATCACCAACATCTCTAATTTCTCTAATTTCTCTAATTATACGTCACCTGCGACATATCAGCAAATCCATTCGCATCGGTCAATTGGCCTCCAATATAAACGATTATTCCTGATTTTAACAATGTAGATGTGAAATCGTATCTTCCTTCGGGTGCGTTTGTAAGATTTAGAGATGTCCATACATTGGTATTCTTATTAAATATGTTCATGGTTGTTGGTAAATCTTCTGGAAGTGCTCCTCCTGTAAGCAATGTATTAAGATTTGATAATTTACCAGCCCACACGTATACATTTCCAGTATCATTATTATATACAAGTGATCCACTTATGAAATCATTTGGTTGTCCTGTTGTATTGGTCAAAACCCAACTTGGTGTGCTTGATGTAAAATCATAAAACCAAAGCAATGTTGTATTAGCTGGTGGCAAATATTTATCAAAGTCACCACCAAACATCATAATCTTATCATCGACAAGATTCTGTACTGAAAATGCAAATGGGTAAACGGCTGTTGATTGTGAACTAAGATTTGTCCAAACAAATTTAGACCTATCTTCTATGCTAAACGAAGGTGGAACATCTAATGAAAAGAATTCTTTTGATGGTGCAGTTCCTCTCCAGTTATCTGGAAAAAGTGGTAGATATCCCCCGCTATAATATATTTTGTTATTATAATATATTGCACTTGCTCCCCATCTTGATGCAGGTATGAAATCCGATAGAACAAAATTATCGTTAAAAATAATTAAAAGATAGCATAAAATCAAGCTAATTAATTTGTACATGACGTAAAAACGTTAATGTACTAAAAAGAAGTTTTATGTTAGTAAAACTTTGACATATTTTATACATTATGGCCAGTTGATAATGCTTAAACTTTGTATCTTGTGATGCTTTGCACAATCAATTTGTTAATATTGAAATTATCCTTTTCTGTTCATTATTTAACTTTTTATCATAACTTTTCGTGTGTATGTAATGATGATAGGACAATATATTCGATAACATAATAATAAATGATGGATCTCTTTTTATGAGTTACCAATGCATTCAACTAAACAAATTACAATCAGACCTCCCTAAGTACAACCCCCTGAGCGCAACACCTACCCTAAATGCGACCTAAACTTTGGCCCAAATATTTTTCTGACCTTCATAACCAAAGAGTTGTACTTAGGTAGGTCTTACTGTATTTCGAAAATATACATAACTTTCAGGCTTAAGAAATTTTACAAAACATCTTTTGAAAAAAAAAAAATTATTATTCAAATTTTTATAACTATGAAATGTTTAAAGTGTTATTTTTAGATAAAAAATTTTTAATATCATTTAAAAATTTTGTTATATTCCTAAAAATTTTTTCCGTATACAATACAAAATTATGAAATGTTTTGTTTACGCCCCTAACTAAATATTGAAATCAACAATCTCATATTTAATCTTAATGATCAATATTTGGAAAACAAATAAATATCTTAAAAAATTTTTTTTCATTTAAACATTACAAAAATGGTTATTATTAATTAGGTTTGATTATTTAACGAGCACAAAAATTGCTATATGATCACGACAGTGACTTATTTAACTTTATGCATATGTGTTTTTATTATGCATGGGAATTGACCAAGTCTCGTGTAATAATTTTTAACGTAATACCAGAATTTAGGAAATTATATATAAATTAGGATCATTTTTTGTGTGTTATGTAATTTCCCGATAATAAGCCTTAAACTGACATTACACAAGGTGATAATTAATAATATTTATGTTAACCCCAACCAGTGTTTGGATCCAAAAGACAATATGACAATTTTTGTAAACATACTTTGTTTCACGTTAAAAAAAAAAATAATGATCACGACTAAAATTTTATTAATCAGATAAAAGTTATTTATGTTACAAATGCGAACATGAAATAAAAAAAATTTAAAAAATTTATGTTGTGAATATTGTGAACGTACGATTTCCAACACTGACCCAACCCTTCGTACTACTGAGTAAATAGTTAGGGAAATGACCATCCATCAGGAAATTGGGCAACATTTTTTTATGCACATGAAATAATCAGTTATATGGGGTCTTTGCCTTGAAAATCACGCTAAGGGACATAGTAAATCATATGTCCCATAACGTGATTTTCAAGGCAAAGACACCATATTCTGAAATTAGCATTGATTAATGAGCTATCAGAACTTTTTTTTATTGAATTGTGAGGTCAATAGAAAACAGGCAAATTGTTTTTAGTAAAAATTTTTTAAGCATTAAATTAAAATATCTCAGATCAAATTTAATAAAAAAATTTTTATTTTGATTCTATAATTACATTGAAACAATTTATTAAATTTGGTTTGATAATTGTTGAAATATTTTAATTTAAAGTATAACAAAATTTTATTTAAAAAAAATTTCCTGTTTTTTTTATTGTTTTCACTCCAAATATTGAAAAATAGATAATAAACTTATTATTATATTTTTATGCACATGAAATAAATTTCAATAATAGTTTGAAATTAGCAAACAGTTATATAGCTATTAGAACTTTTATTAAATATTAAAGATATATATAAAAATTTTATTAATTATAGTTATTGTATAAGCTGTTAAAAATAATTAACATTGTATAATAAAACACAATACAAACAAACACCTAGGCAACAAATAGCTTAAATCTTTTTTTTTTGAATATTTAATGTAATGGTATTTAATTTTTATATGGCGATTTACAGTATATAATTCAATACAGAATCTTTTGAAATCATGTAATAGGTTATTCATGTTATTTTTATATAGTGATTTATATAATTTAATATAGTATCTTTTGAATCCTTTGGATTACGAAAGAAATAATGATTAGAAAATCACTTTGCATATTAATAAGATATTTGTTACCATATAGTTCCGTAGGTTATGAGTAGGGTTGTTAAGAAGTTACTATCGAGAAGAATTTTCAAAAAGTCAACTTAGTCGACTAAAGACTGGCTCACACAAATATCGTGATACTCTTTGAAAATCATCAATCTTAATTATTTAGCATTTTACAGAAATGCACAATATTATTTCACTATCAAATTTAATTAGTATTTAACCTTTAAAAAATGTATGATATTATTTCAATATCAAATTTAAATAACATTTAACCTTTTACAGAAATGCTCCATATTATTCATTATCAAATAAAACTTGATCAAAACATGTATAACTAACCTTTTATGTATTTTATCGTAAATAATAATAAGAATAATGTGAATAATAAGAATAATAAGAATAATGTGAATAATAAGAATAATAAGAATAATGTGAATAATAAGAATAATGTGAATAATAAGAATAAGAATAAGAAGAGGAAAAATAATAAAAATATAATAAGAATACAGTCAGACCTCCCTAAATGCACGTCGTCTAGAGAACACAACAGGGCGGGCTTTGATTCTGATTGGTCAATCACCAAATGTATCGTCACATATACCCCCGCATATATCATCTGACTTTAAACGAATTGTCTGCCATCAAAACGAATTGTCAAACGAAACCGAATAGATATTCAGAAACTACACCTTTCACTTTATATACAGTAAAAATAATCCGGGGAACAGACAAATAATCCAGAAGTTAGTGACGGGGTGCACTTTTTACCTTATAGGTTATAGTAATTGCAGTAAGCAAGGTAAATTGCGCCTTTGCTAATAAAATATTGTGTGTTTTTTTTTAAGCTTGTTAATTTAAAAAATAGCGTTTCATACAATAATACTTACACCTAATTTCTTTTTACTGAATATAGGTTATTCGACAAGTTTTTTAAAAGTTACAATATAGTTAAATATAGAATATATGTAGAAATATATGATTTTTTATATATTTTGTAGTTAGTATTCGGTTTTTTATATTGTTTATACTTGTTTATACTCTGTTAGGCTTAAAAAATATTAGTTTTTTTTTATTAAGTTTAATTAGACATGTATTTAATAGTACTATCTGGATTCAAGTATTAAAAAATATTATTATAAATTAACTTTATAACTTAAAATGTATCGTTTTGTTAAAATTTTTTACTTCAAACTTAGTTTCTATTAGCCAATCATATTTTGTAACGTCACAAAATGATCTACAAAAATTAACCAATCAAAATAAAAGCCCGCCCTGTTTATCATATGGTAATGTTAATAGGTAGCCAATCGAAAGGTGATTCACTTTTGATACAAACTTCTAAGAAAGAAACAGTCAATCAGTAAGTTCAAAATTTTAAATAACGATAATAATGTAAAAAGAATGAAGTACTTGAACAATTATTTTTTCTAATCAATCAGCAACTCTATAACTGATAATAAAAAAAGGACGTCTGGGCCTCTATTTCTTGTTGATTGGAATGATAAATACCTTGGTCTGAATTAATTCCGAAAGAAAAGTGTTTAATAGACTTTGGTTACTAATTAAAAATAATCTTACATATAATAAGTAAACATTTATTGCTATAGTCTCTAATGCAATACCCTTCTATTTTTACGTATAACTTTTTTCACAAATCTTTAAGCTTAAAAATTTTATTAGATAATTACCAAGATATTTTTACTTAGCTTAAAAAATTTTAATACAATCTCTGTTTTAATAATATTTATGCTTTTTTTTTTTAACTTCTATTTAATCAAACTCAACTATTTAAATTTTCGTTAACTATAATTAAAAAATTTTTATTAGAATTTTGATCAAGCAATTATCTTCAAAGGTTAAAAATTTCAATTTAGGAATGTATAAAATTGAAGATTATAAAGATTAGTTCTCTAATATCGATATAAATTACAATAGCTATAAATAAGATTTACAGGGCGTTAAGAATTGTTAATCACTATAGATTTAAAAATTGAATGCTAAATAAGGTTAAATAAGCATTAAGTGATATGAATTTTAACTTCCATTCAAAAATTAATAACAACTAATACATTCCGTGCAAGAACATTGAAAAATGATCTTTAACATATTAGAAAGCGAAAAACTGTTTAAAAGTGGTAAGTCGTTAAATTTTATATTCGAAGACTAGACTAATTTATGCATAGTGAAACAATGATGATGTAGTCCCAAACTCTGACGAAAGAGTGACTTATTATTATTAATAATCATTCAAAAAAAAAAACAATCAGAGATATTACCATATCTAATTAAAATTACAACTCATTATATAATTTTTCCTTTTTTTATTTTTTGTTCTTTATTATCTCTTTCTATTATTTCATAATTCAATATATCGTTTCCATGGGGAAAAACATTGATGAATGTGCAAGCGTTCCCGACTCTTTAAAAAGAGCTCGTGCTTGTCTTGTTTGTTCGCTAATCAAGGTACTTTTTTTGATCTCTATTTTTCGCTATTCCATAAATTTCTAAAATCAGGCATATTTTTATTTTATTTAGACCTATGAACAGTTTAAAAGAGAAGGATGCGATAATTGTGAAAGTTTTCTTAGGCTTTGTGGCCATCCCGATAAAATCAAGGAATGTACAAGTACTGATTATAATGGGTAAGAGTGTATATTTTCAAATTTATCATCATTCATTAATTAATTCGCTAAATATGTGTATAATTACAGAATTATTGCTCTTATGAAGCCTCGCGCCAACTCATTCATTTCTAAGGCCAAAAAACTTAGTAAGGATTGTTATTTCTCCTTAGTAAAAATTCATATGTTAATTTTAAAGCCTTATTATAATTTATTATTTATAGCACGTTATGTACCAGGTACTTATGCTGTTGGAGTTAAAGGAGAACTTCCAGACTGGGTTGAAGAAATAATGATGG